CACACTTTCTTCTATTATGCCATCTTTTAGAGAGAAATATGACCCATTATCGAGATCCGGCTGCTACAAGCTTGATTGCTCATGTGGTTGATGTTATATTGGTGAGACATGCCGACCTATTCGACAAAGCTTGGTAAAACACAAATGCTTGCAAAGGTAGCTGGATCCAACGGTCAGAAGTGGCCGAACACATGGTAGAAACTGGACATGAAATAAAATTCTATCAAACTAGTAGGTTTGCTGATTACGGTACGTCTATGTTAGAAAGAAAGATAAGAGAGGCTATTGAAATTAATAGCTTAGGAAATACATTTAATGTGATAAACGGTAGTATAAAGTTGAGTATGAATTACTTATGCTTGATTGGTAGATTGAAAGAAAGAGAGGGTGTTTCACCACCTTCAAAAAGAAGGCGACTCAATTTGTCTGCTCAATGATGGTTCTAATTTCACTCACATTTGCCCAAAATGTTAGAGGCTCTTCAAGCTCTTCAAGCAAACCAGACATGTAAGATTACGCAACCCTAGTCTTGCCTTTCCTTGGAGGGTGAAACGTTAATGATCCTAGATCGAGAGGTTAGGATAAGTGGTTTCGTAACTTGATTATCATATATTATATATATGATATTTCATATTTCATTATCTCAACTATACTTGTTTACGGACCTAGGCAGTCTCGGTCAAAGATTTTAGTTTTGGTCATAAGGTCTTGAGGATCAGAACCCGAGATTTAACCTTTGACAAGTCTGATTTAGGAACCGTACTGCATAGAGACGCTAACACGCACAAATATACATACTCACACAATCGAGCAAAAATATGTATGAAAGCAAATTAACCAAACATATTCCATATTGATCTATCTAGGTTTTTAATTATTAATTTTTTGGCTCGATTGAGTCTATATAAGAAGTAAAATAGGGCCGGATAGTGCTTATGCTTTAGTGTTAACGTGAGAGTTTTACAAGAATGACACCCAGCTCTGATGATGTCCATCATATGATGGACGAAAGCTCATCACTTTTTCACCCGAAACGAGGGAGGAAGTCTGGTGGACTGCGTCAACATGCGTATCCTCTAAAAGCCAAACGGTAGTACAACGAGATTCATCCGTCCTCATCTGGTGAGATCGACCAACGAATCTCTTCTTCATGCACTTTCATTCGAAAAGAGAAGGTTTCCCTAATAATATAGAATGATTCTATTCAAATTGGTCATTGTACGATATTTAAGGTAACAAGTCGAAACTTGCTGGGTTGATTCATACCAGAGGAAATTCTTTTCAACAACTCCACACCAAATTGTTGAAACCTTGGGACACACTCACAAGAATCTCTTTGAGATTTTGCGCCACCGGCCTAAGGTCTACTTTTCTTCACAGTGTAATCTGAAATTAACGCATCCACCCTATTCTTACCGAGACCGAATGCGTACAACAAACCTTAACGATATCGCTTCTAAACGTCCGTATTGCTAATTTGAGCTTTTCATTTGTTCAAACCTGTAGAATGGCGCAATATTGCAGGCATGATCATTAATAAAAGATGTTATTTTGTCTTATCGGCCGGCACACCTCTTACTTTCACTCGTCGTTCTATCCTTTAAGCCTACAAATAGGTCTGAGGCAAAGTCAGATAGACCGGCTTCTGCCCAGCCCATTCCGAGTTGTCCGGGCCGGCTTCTGACCTCTTCTGTAGGCAGCCCCAACACCGGCGCAGCCTGGCCCAATAGCCCACGTTCCCTCCGCAACCGGCCCGCGCCCCCCCCTCCGCCGCCACCGCCGCCCGCACAGCAGCCTCCCGCCACACTCTCGACTGCTCTCTCCTCTCCTCCTCCGGGCGTCTTCTTTCCGCCCATCCATGTCCGTTCACTCTCACATTCTGCCGTCTCTTTCGACTCTGATTCTGTCAGTCGGACTGCCGTGAATCACGGTACCGATCTCTCGCTCAACAGCCCCGGCGGATCTACCACTTTAGCCTCCAGTCCGATGAGTCTCAGTCACCCCAGTCTGTCGGGCCGGGCTTCCGTGGTCTCCTGGACGGCCGAGCCATCGTCGCCCGGCCAGCCGACCTCTGGTGACCTCCTGCTCCAAGTCCCGGCTGGACGCAGTCGGTCGCCATGTGAATCCGACTCCTGTCTCTGTTGGTCGGTCTCCGATGTGCCCGACGCCGTCTGTCCTCCGCACTGGCTCGCGATGGACGAACAAACCAAGCCGGCGAGGTCCAATTTCCTCGGAGGCCAATGCCCGGCTGACCTGCTGCTGCAACAGACCTGTCCACATTCACACAAGCCCAATCATCACAGTCCCCTCCTTCAACCCAAGCATCCGGCTATTTCACACTATGCCTCTGCAAAGGCGTTTTCACACGCAGTTTCACAGTCCTGCCAGCCTGAGCCCATCTCAGCGGCCAAGTCGGAATTGTGTCTTGGCGCCACAGCCTGCTCCCATCTCTGCCCTCATCATCATCACCACCCCCACCACCACCACATGCACCCACATGTGCCCTACACTTCTCAGGCTCGCCTGTATCCCCACATGCTGCCCTGCATGGCCATTTCGCCTCCACCGGCAGCCGAACAAGAGCCTGTACCGAGGCAACCCGGCAAGAAACAGGCGTACGGCTCCTTTCTCATCAATCCCTTGTCACGACTCACCAAATGCAAGCGCAAAAAGTCCCTTCGCAACACCTCGGAACCCGTCCCGCTGGACGGCAAACAGCCGTTGCCAAGCGAGTCTATACCCGAGGTGGTCTGCGTCCCGATGCAGATGCCAACTTGCCACTGCCACTGCGAGTGCTCATGTCGATGCCCATCTGCCTACTCCAACCTCTGTCCATATCGAGGCGCCATGTACTCTATGCCCTTCACACGATGCTCTTGCTCCCGATTTTCGGTATCTCAACCCGACAAAAGGCCACATTCCACCTACCAGTCGTGCCAGGCGGCTGGTCAGGTCGGTGACATGAAAGAATCTACCCGAATGAAGGGCCTCTTTCGGTCAAAAGACAGCCGACACTCGATCGGAACGCCCGGACAGGCTGCCCGCGGAGTCCAGCATCGTTCGGAAAACCTATGGCACTTGGACTCTATGCTGCAGGCTGGATTCCAATCCGCTTTGTCTGCGCCCAGACAGTCCATAAAGAAGACTGACGAAAATGCCAGAAGAGGCGAAAACTGCGGCCAGCGCGAGGAGCCAACAAGAGGAGAAGATAAGAAAGAGGGCGTTGTGGCAAAAGAAGAAGAAGAAGAAGAAGAAGAAGAAGAAGAAGAAGAAGATGAAGATGAAGAAGAGAAGGAAGAAGTAGGAGAGGAGGAGGAAG